TTCTCATGTGATTTGAGTGGCTTTAGGTTTGGACAAAGAATGTCTCTGTAACAAACGAAATATATATCATAATCTTCGTTTGAATAAATTTAACATATATATAAACTCATATCTTCTGAATAGACTCATGTAACTGCTCTTTAAGCTGCGTGTTATTGAAATTTGTGATAATCCATAACATAAACAAAAGGTACAGCCAAGATTGTTGTCTTCTGTTGTTGTTTAAAGTAACACTTTTCTAAAGATAATAAACTCATGTAATTGCTGTGTATGGATCATATTCTTTAATTTGTGATATTCCTCATTTATACACAGAAGCTAATATAACCAAGATTTTGTCTTTTGTTGTTGTTCAAAGTACCATTTTCTAAAGATTTTGGATCAGAGGTCACCCCTGTTTGATTTCTGTTCGGTGAAATAGAGAAACAATTGAAACTAGACTCAACGGCAAGGTTAATTTTCTCCCCAAGGATGAGTTTCACATATAAGTTCTTACATCTAAACAGAAGCTAGAAACCGAGATCTATACATCAGTTTCCTTCTCTTCTGCAGATATTGTAGCTACAATAAAGATCAAAACGAGCACAAGGACTGTAAGTTACACACAACTACGTAGTGCTTTTTTACTTTCATCATACCTACCTCTCCAAATCATTTTCGCAACAAATATGCCTTGGAAATTTGTAAATTCCCTCCCAAGATATCTATGCAATGAAGTTGATAGTATTGTGTTTATATGTTATAGGTGACCTCGCGGCGGAAAGAGTATGGTGCTTGCACGTATTCAATATTTTGTGCAGATGCCCCCAAACAATATAATGGTCATAGAAGATCATCAGCATCTTCGAGGTAAGTTCGTATTGATGCAGATGGTTTGTCACTATATGTTATAAAAAGTTAATTCTAGCATTTGCGTTTGCGAGTAGATGAAAAAGAAACAAAACCGAGTGGTGTGCCTTCAAATTTCAGTCACAATCGATTCAATAAATGGGGGGTTCTTGATGGATAAGTAAGAGAAATGAATTGAATTGCTGGATTGAGATATTTCCTTTGGTTGTTTTGAAATTGAATTCTCTTTGTTGTTTGTTGTTATACATCGTTGTCTTTGTCCACGTTTCTTTACTTTGACATTAGGTAAAAACAAAGAAAGCACTTAGCTCGTGGGGTCTCTGTTTTTAGTATCAGGCATAATCTTTTGCTCCATTTTGGTATATTCCGTTTTTTATTTTGTATCAAGTGAACATATATCAGGAGGATCTATCAGAAAAATCGTCATCGTTTTATGGTATGGAAGGTGTATAACGAACCGGCTTAAATATGTATATTTAGAGAACAAACGGTTTGTTGATATAAAAAAAAAAAAAAAAAAAAAAAAAAAAAAA